ATGTAAACTCAAACTCTTGGTTATAATTTCAAACTTAACATTATAATGACATAATTATATACAGATTTTAGTTCCGACGACAATTCCACATATATGAGAGAATCCTATATGAATCAGAGGTCAACTCAAAGTGACCTTATGTCTTTTCAATTCATGGATACATTCGTTCCCAGTAAGAAATAGCATGAGTTGTTGGTGGTAGAAGTGATGGATTTAGCTTGAGTTGTTGGTGGTAGAAGTGATGGCTAACTAGCCTGAACCTCGGAACATTACAGAATTACGGTGGTTCTTGAGGCTGATAGGTTATTACTATCCTTTCGTCAAAGATTATGGCAAGATAGCACACTATGCAAAAATATATAAACAAGTCTTCTAAAAAATAAATATATAAATCAATCGTCAATTAAAATAATCTTTGAATTATCTAGAACCCAAATTTGTAATAAAAATGATGTAACAAATCTTCGTAAATGTAAAACTAACGTACGAGTCTACTTAATTATTTGTATATGTTTCTAAATGACTAATTAAAAAAACATATAAATTTTAGGTATTAGTTTTGGGTTTTGAAATAATATAATCTTGATTGTCAATAAAAATATATATGGGAAAGAAATGCGGTAAGAGTGAAAAAAGGGTTAAAGTGCATGGGAGGACGTTGATGGCTCGCCCGCTGATGGCTTAAATCATTGTACATTTTAATTATGCTAAAAATGTTTGTATAAAATAAAGTACTATTTTTCTGTTAATAGAAATAAAATATATTATCACGCAGATCATCAAAAAACTGGATTAAATTTAGAAAAGCCGTCAATAAAATATATTTGTTTTATTGTCTGTTCAAGAAATAGATAATATGTTAAAACCCAAAAATAATAATAAATAGATATATAGTGTCGAGTTCTTCTCTTTGGAAGATATCGTTTTCACCATCTTCCTCTTTCGAGGAGATACTTTAACGTCCACCTTCCCTGACTAGGAGTGGAGAATTTTCCTTAGCTTCAAAGCTGAGAGGAGTATTTTTTCTAGTTTCAAAACCGAGGAAACACTTTATTCCCTTTACCAATTTGCTATTTGTTTAGCAGTTTATACAGGACCAAAAGATATATGAATTTTGTTTGACGAGATTTGGATGTATGTACTTAAGTTATATCTTTCTGAACCCCGTGAACATTATGTCGACGCATCATGGTGGCTTCTTAGTTTCGTTGTCACATACTAATGATGATTATTCATTCTTATCTTCTACTGCTTCAAGTTTTATTATATTAATTAAGCAAAGGATTTTGTAACCCCAAATTTTGAATAAATGAAAAGTAATGTTTGCAAAAGAAAAAAGAAGATAGTGTCAAAGTGATGACGAAAGACACTGGCTTGATTAATAGAAGACTACCACACAAAAAAAATACACTGCATTCAGGACGTATAGCTATACCGTTTTTAGGAAAGTATAAATCATAGCCTAATGTTATACGTTTACCATTTAGATTCAATTTGGCCAAAAATTTATATGAATTGTAAACGTAAGAAAAAGTAAAAAAAAATCGACGTAGCTAAAAACTTAAAGCCACCAAGTTCATTTTGAAAATGAGGCAATAGTATCGTTTAGTAGTGGTAGACTTAGATATCTAGGCTAATACTGAACAAGCATGTCCTTGATTAGGGAGTTGTGACGATTTCCGCATTGATTGTTATTCTTTTGGTTTATATTCGGATGAATATGACGATGATAACAATAATAATGATGACCATGGTGGTGGAAATTGTAGTGGTGATGAATAATGATGTTTATGATGCCATCATCAACAGTTCAAAATACTTTACATAATTGAAACGAAAATAAAAAACAAAAATCTGTTTGGGAGTTTATGATCTGAAGTTATATATTTTGGCCATTACAATAGAAAACATAATAGAAGAAAAGTAAGATCGATTAAAGGCAATTATTGGTTACGACCTTTTTATCATCTAGTGATTATGAAAATGCATTATCAATAATAGTAGTGATGATTTGTGTAGTGGAGCTTTGCTTTGTACATTGTAATGGGCCTTAAGTCGTATCTTCTTCATATTAACTTCTTATAAGCTAACTCCTCGCGACCTCATTCGACCATATGTTCTACGTTTTTGATATAATCATTTCGTTTCCCTTTATTCTTGCACAAAGCTCGTGGTTCTACTTTATTTCTTCTACTTAATTCTATATTTTCAAAGTCCTATAAAAAATCGCCAGTCACGAGTAGTTGGATTCGAATCAACTCTACTAACTATTTATTAAAACCAATCATATTAATCAAATTTCCACAAGAATCTTTTTTGTTTCGATTCACGATAAAATATCGAATATGTCATTATTCATTTTGTCACTAATACGTTGCACTATCTATAAACAGTATTTAATCAAATGTTCATCAAACGTTTCTTAGGATAGATTTGCGAAGATCTTAATCTATGTGGTCCACACCTCATAATCATTCTACTTCTCAGTCTAAAACATGTTAGAGGTTCTAAGAAATTGTCGATTTCCTGAAAATTGAGCTCAAAGCATTATATAAAAATATTGATTATTTGTTCAATATCTAAACTGCAGTAATTAATCCAATTGAAATTACTTATGGTGTGAGATAAGGTTGAAGTTTCCCTTTTAACCTACTTTTTCTCCCGTCAAATATGGTCCAAGGGAGATCGATTTATGAATGTACGAAGGCATGCATTTATGTACGTTTATAAATTATTTATTTTATTCACAGGAGATATTTTTGAAAGAAAAAGAAACAAAAGGTTAAATCCTCCACTTTCTATTCACTGTGGTGATTATGCCTTTTATTTTTCCCTTTTGATCTTTGCTTATTAAATTTTAATTTCAATGCTCCCCACTTATCACATTCTTCCCACCCCATTTGCTCTGGTTTATAATTTTTTTTCTTTAATATTGAAATGATAATATGGGCCAAAGGCTGTAACTTCCTTATATACATATATCATAAGAAAAAATAATTTCACTCACAAAATTATCTTATTACCAATTTTGAGGATGATGAGAAGGTAGAAAGATCTTCGCTTGGTGCGATCAATATTTTAGGGTTATGACTTTAGATTTTGAGGTTGACTTGCATGCAGAAATCGTATATATATTGCTCCAAATGCGTGTCTTTGTTAATGCGTAACTATGTGAAACCTATACATATGACATAACATGGCTACACTCATGTGATTCTCATTCTACACAGTGCCAGACTAATCAATTTAAATGTCCTAATCTATAATTTAAAATATATTTTTTTAAAAATAAAAAATAATACAAAAACAAAAAAAATAAATTAAAATTTTATAAAATATTTCAACTCCATAAATAGTTTATAAAAAATACAAAAATACAATAAGATTTTTATTTTAATATTAAAATATGTTTTTTATATTTTTTCCTACAAAATCGTTTAATAAAATTTCATACTCGAGTTTTTCAACCATAATTGTCTCAATAGATAACAAAGATAGCCTATTTAATCACTTTTGGTATATCGCAAATAATTCTTTATCAGCTTTAACTTCGAAAAATTTCTTTCAACAGTAGCAACCGATACCAGAACTGTCAACAGTATGCGATATAAAACTTCTGTGTTTTGATAACAATCCTCTATTTGTTTCAAAAAATGAAGCATTTCATTAAGCTTCCCAACTTCATTTGGTATTAATTCTCGGAGAATTTTCAATTCCATAAACAGATCATCACCAACTATGTCTGCATATCATTCGTTAAAGAAACCTTCAAATCTGCAAATTCTATTTTCTTTCTAAACTTCAAATCTACAAATTCTATTTTCTTTCTAAAATATAATGTGTTGCCCTTAACCAATATTTTTTTAGAGAAAAGTCCATAAACATTACAAAAAACTTACAAATATTATTTTCTTATAAAAAATCTTTTAAATTTTGTTTATTTATATATACTCTTTATAAAAAAATTAACCAAAATATGCCGAGGCCGTCGCCTACCTCGCCTATGCTCTGGGGCGGCTCTGATTCTACATATGAATATGAGCGACACTCGAATGTGTAAAACTATTAAAATTCGCCTTGTTTTTACTTGCAATAAGGGATACTGCATGCATTCGCATACTCATGTTCTATTATCGTTGTTTTCCCGATATCCAAGGATTTTTTGGCATACACATAATATCACTTTTTGCTTGTACAAACTTTTATGTTGAAGTTCCTGTTTGAGCAACTCTGATTGGTGCAGCAATCCATCATATGAATTAGATGATTAAACAACGGCCATTGAACTAAAATCTCTATTTCTCTTTTTTTTTTTGGTTTCTTTTATTAGTTGACTTGCTCTATGTATTGTCAATGTTGTGTTTTGATTGTTCCTTCACTGCTCTTAAGGAATAAAAAGGAATTTGAAACATACTCGTTCTCTTCATTGTGTATTTTGCAGATGTTGATCTGACCCTTTTTTTCCCCCGGAGTGATCTTAATTGATGAGATTATGAATGTGACGATCTCTGGAGTTCTACGCTTTTAAGATAATTTTGGCTCTGTTTGCAATTTCATGTGAAGCTCAAAATTTGGAAATCTAGAATCTAGGAACAAATGTATGCATCTAGCTAGTAGCAATCGTACGGGAGAGATCGTTACAACACTTAAACAAGACTGTCCCTAAGGTCTAGCACTTTTGATTGAAATCAAGAAATGGTGTTTTTTTTTGGTCAAAGAATCAAGAAATGGTTTGAAAAAGAAATTCATGCATGTAGAAAGTAATTACTATTTTTAGTAAGTTATTTTGGGACGTCTCCATGGATTCTTGGCTGTCTATAATTATGATTTATGAAATCTATTACATACCTACTCTCTGACTCTGCACACATTTATTTTCACAACAAAATCTTGCAAAATCAAATTAGATTCTTTCTACGACTTTCTTGTAAGTAACGGATCGGGATCTTGACCTAAGTCCAAATTACTCATAGGGCATGTAAATGTACGTAGTAATAAGAAAATAGTTCTCATGAACATCGATTACTAGTAGATGATAAAAAGACAAGACTAACAAGTAATCATCAAATTTTTAGTAACATGTTCAAAGATCGTAAAGATCCAAAGAGACCAACATAAAGAAAGCAAAAAAAAAACTAAAATGCCAAAAAAAAACACATGGCTCAGCTATGACACTCACATCTGGATCCATTTAGCAAGCTGGGTCGGGTTAACCACACCAGGCACGTGGGTCCCATCTGTTTTGAACACACTCGCCACGTCAGAGTAGCTCTGGTGAGCCTTCTTCTTCACTTCCCTGTGTTGCGGCGACGGAGAGTCTATCGGCCCAACTTCAGCCCATCCATGGTATAGCTTCCGGCCCAACATCGTACCGCACGTGAGGAACTCGTGCGCCATGTAACCGGCCAATAGCCAGTTCGAGGTAGCCGGAGGATTGGCCCTGGAATCTAAACCGAAGTCACTCTCCGTCGTCTCCTTGCGTTTTCTCGACGCGCCTGGCGTTGGTACTCTATGCGCGTGGTGGTATTGATTCATTTTTTTGTTCTCTTTTGGTTATGCCACGTGGTTGTTGGATCAGGGCTATAACGGTCAAATGTCAAAAGAGAAGGGGTAAAATGTCAATTTAATTAGTTTTCTTTATCTGAGGCGAAAAACGTCAAACGCATGACTGTCGAGAGAAATGAGCGGATACGGACAAAATAAAATAAAAAAAGTTTTTAAAATGAAGATTTATTTATTCATTAAAAGGGGATAACGAAAAAGCGATCGGAGATAAATCTGAGACGGCGACGTCGAGGATCGGTGAAGAAATCGTGGCCGGAGATCAGGGAAGATAAGGAATCGGAGATCGGGGAAGAGACAACGCCGCCGGAGATCAGCGGAGGAGTTAAAAAAGCGGAGAACGGAGAGAGAAAAAAGGGAATAGAATAGGAGAGAGATAAAGGAGAAAAGTTGGAGGCGTAACTTCTTTATATTCGATTGATTAAAAAAGTGATTGTAATTTGTGAGGCTTTTTTTAAAAAGACTATAAAAATGGTCATGAGGCCTTAAGTGGGCCCAAAATTAAATGTATTGGGCTTAAAAGGTGACTTATTGGGTTTTGTATTGTCAGTATATTATTTAACTTTCTTGATCCAATCAATAAATTATAATTTTCATTTACTAATTGACAAATTTTGCCGCTCGTAATAGAACAAAGTAACGTAATTTCACAAGTTCTGTTTATTCGTAGAAAAATTTAATGCTATGGAAAGTTTGTACACTACTATTAAAAAATCACACACACAATTGTCGATGAACGAAAACCTAGTTTTTTTCTTTCTTTTATATATTCAAAATTTTCTTCATGGTTTGATTTTTTGACATGGGTGATGATGGAATGCATGCTGCTTTATCAAAAAATTGTACACTCTTACAATCACACGCATGACATATATATGACATAAAATCGTAGATGAACAAAGAAATGTTTCTTTTTGTATATGCATTTTTTTCTTAACTAAAAGTTTGGTATATAGATTATGAAACTTTTAGTAGACATTTTAGACTATATTAAACAGACGGACTATATTATATGAAACTTAAACAGACTATATTATAGACATTTTTCGGACAGGTTATTTAGAATTAATGAAAATTGTGGTGAATTCGATTCTGTCCAGCTTTCTTAAATTTAGTAGCAGCGTTCGTATGTTTAAGTACATATTTTCAATATGCCTTTTCATTTTTCTTGTGTTTTGAATATTAATATAGTCTGTTTAAGTGATATTTATCGTTCTAGTAAATTTATTTTTATAAGCTATGTTCTTCAGTTTGGTTAATCATACATTCTTTTTTTTAATATAATGATGTAAGCAGAGTTAGATCTGAGTAGAAGCAAGCATGTGCTTCGAAGCGGTAAAGTTAAAATTATTTACTGGCTGATTTGTTTAAAATTGAGTTAAAACATGTAGTTTAAAACGAGTAGTTTTTCCCATATCTTGAATGTCTTAAGTTCGAAGTTGAAAACAGGATTAAGGGGCCAAATTTTTGTTTTTCTGCTTCTAGCCTGATAAAACTGAGGACCGGCTCCGGATGTAAATAAGTAAGTTCATAGCAAAACAATAATGATGTAAGTAAGTTCATAGCAAAAAATAATGATGTAAGTTGAATAGTTTAAAATATTGTATTCGAAAGCCCACTGAAAAGCTAGCCAGCACGATATAACTCATAGAACTTCTCCACATTACAGTACTTATTATTCTATATTCCACAGTAAGTTTAATTATTTCACATCGCGTACGAAGCAAATCGGGATGTGGACTTATTAAGCAGAGACACCAATCCTTTTCTATTTATTTATTTTTTGTAACAAATCCTTTTTAATTATTAACGAGGTGAGGTCCTTGAGGAGAGATTTTCCTGATGTTCCAACCTCCTATTAATTACTTACTCCGAAGTCCAAGCGCTTACTTTGACTTTTGTTTTAGCACCGTCATTTATTGGTCGAGCCCACTAAAATGCCGGTTTAAAACTTGATTTGAAGCGACCGTATTAATTTGGTTTTGCTTTTCAGAAATTTCTCCAGTCTCTTGTGGGATATATATCTTTAAGGTAAGGTTGTTAAATCTTTGGTGTGTCAGAGCTGTTGTGGAATTTCTCTTTAAGGTAATTGATTTCTCACAAATGTTGTGATCTCTCTTTAGTGTAATTGTTTTTCTCACCGTCAAGGAGCTTAATTCCGTCCCATGAACCATCTTTGAATCAAGTAGTGGTGTCACATATGAAGTGTGAATGTGTGATGTTTAAAACATCTCAATAACTTCAATAACATCAAATTCTATGATTAATATTGGTAATACGTGTCACAAAAGAAATATAGAAACTGTCCCTATAAAAATACCGTAATTACTCCTAAATAAGCCCAGAAATTTGTCGGACAGAAGAGAGCCACTAACAACGATGTTCCGGGAATGACATGTAGATTTCGAATTGGAGGAAGAGTAATTACAAGTGGTTTGTATTTATTTAAAGATTTTACGATTAGGACATAATAGGTTGGAACATAAATGACGGCATTTTGTTCAAACCGCAATAAATTCTTCATCTAACTCGCACATGGTTTGGTATGGAAGCTCCAATGGTTTTTTTTCTTTTGTTGAAGTATGGAAGCTCCAATGGTTGTTTATTTGAAGTAATGGATATAGATTTATATGAACATATCATTGAGAAAACATAAAAAATACCACTGACGGCGTTTATATAAAAAGCAATATACCATTTACTACTGACCTTGATCTACAACACACGTTTAATAGTCAAATTACAATAATTACTTGATCAGATTCAAAAATATATTCTCAAAGGTTTTTCTTTAATTCTCATTGCATATATATGTTGGTACAATGACTTATTATTTTAATAGTGACGGTCTAATATCTCATATACATAACAAAAATTCAATCAATAAGAAAGAGATATCCATGGCTACGTTTTGATCTACTAGGCACCCTATACTTTGGAACAAGTTTGGCGCATTTTGCTAAAAAATGTCGGACTCAAAAAAGTATGATAAGTGTTACATGACATTTGGCTAACTAAGAGCTAGAGATTCAATAACTTTCGAAAACCCTTTCGTCCAAAAAAACTTCAAAAACCTTTAAATATGAAAACAGTATAAGCTAATTACACTCTATTATTTTCAAACATAACTAATCAAATAGCGTTCCCGCTTGAAATTTTTAAATAAATCTAAATTATTAGTTAATGCAGAAATTATCATCTCATGCGTTGTAAAATTGATTATATCCGCAAGAGACAATATATATCTACTACAAAATAATAGTTTTTGATTTAATCAAACTAAATATGAACTGAAAGAGTTTTGTGGGACACTTGAAAAGAAATTATATGTTCGTACTTGGTACTAAACAATAAACTTACAGAGTTTTGTGGGACACTTGGAAAGAAATTATGTGTTGGTTTTGTTATCCAAAAGAAAAAAAAAATGATTTCACACAAAAAGAAAGTAACGTGTGAATTGTTTATTTGTCATAAAAAAAGGTAGAACTAACTAGTTGTAACGAGATTGAGAAACAGTTAAAGTCAAATATGGTACTTATGGGTAAAACACTAAAGCCTGCTTGGTACATTTGAGTAACGTATTAAATTTCTTATATTTTTCTACAATATAATGGAAGAAAAAATATATGTATTATTTAGATTTGTTACTAGAAAACATGTGGAGTGGAAATCGCGAAAGGATTTAGGAAATTAAATGCAGTGAGTAAGTAGAGTAGGAGTTAGTGGTTGAAGTAAGTTAATGCAAAGATTAAAGTAGTTTAATTATGTGTTGGCTATATAATCGACCGTAATGCTGGATTGGTTTTGATCATCGGGCAGTGAACGAACACTGCAAAGAACGAACATACTCAAAAAGCAAGAAGACATGGGGCGTCCCGTTAATGGAGCTACTCTCTGCTTGT